TACAATCGAGATAATGAATTTGACACTCGACTGGTTAATTGCATCGGTTGATCCATTGCATGTATTCACTGTGGTCAGATGACCTTAGAAAAAAAAAATTAAATAAGTTAAGCTATTTAAAATCAATAAAAAATATTAAAATTTAGAAAAATATAAAATAATTCAAAAAATCATCAAAATATCCCAAAATGAAGATAATGGTTTTATAAAGTCTCTATAAAAAGTTTGAATGTTAAAAAAGTTATTTTAATATAATAATGTATTTTGTAAGTAAATAGGAATTTTTGCTTAAAATAATTATAGAAAACAAAATAAAAATAAAAATTATGAAAATTGGTTTGGATTATTCCTTAAGATGAGAGGAACTCAGGAAAAATAAAATTGAATTTCAAATAAAAATTTTATTTTTAAGATATTTTTTAAATTTAAAAATAAATAAAAATAATTAAAAAATCACAAAAAAAAAATAAATATACTTCAAAATATCACAAATTATTTTCTAACCACAAAATATACTTGAAAGTATTTTTATAAATTTTTAAAGATGTAAAAAGGTATTTTTAGTATTAAAATGTATTTTCTCTTAATTTGAATAAAATAATTATAAAAAATAAAAAAATAATAATAATAAAACATAAAAATAATTTCTATATGTTTTCTGAAGTTAGAGAGACTTATGAACATTATAAAAATAAATTTTTGAAAATAAGATGTATTTTCTATTTATTTACTCCATAAAATGAATTAAAAATTATAAATTAAAATATAACTCAAAGATTCATGAAAATTGTTCATAGAGTTTCTTTGACCTAGGTGAACCTCCTAAAATTTGTTCAAAGACAAAAAACATGTTTTGGTTAACTAAATTAATTAACCTTGAAAATTCTTATTTTTGGACTAAAATAATTATTAAAAATTAAATAAAAATTATAAAAATATAAATTCTTCTATGATGTGCAAATTAACCAATGATTAGAGTAAGAACAAAGTATCAAATTCTTTGGAGCTAAATTGAAGGAATTATGAAGTAAGGAACCCTATGAGTAAAATGGTAATTATAGAATTTTGAACTACAATTAAGATTTAAGTCAAATCAGAGAGTAAATGGGTAATAATTATGATAATTAATCTTTTGAGATGATCAGAACCTAAGGGAGAAAAGGGTAGAAACCAATTCACACCATTTTCTACAAAAGGATAAAAATGTAATTTTACAAATTATTGTGGTTTAGAAGTCAGTTAAGTTGGATGACACTAACGTGAGGGGTTTGAGTTAGGAAGATAATAACTCATTAATTTGAAGCCCCAAATCAATTGTTAAATGACAATACAATCTTTTAATAAGAATTAAGTTTATTTCATCTAACATTTTCAAAATTACAAATTTACTCATAGAGACTTAAGAGTTTGGTAGTGAACTAGGGTTAATCCAAAATCACTTAATGAGATTTAGAAAAGAAACACAATCAATTACAAATTCCTTTAAAACACTACATGTTCAAGTTCAATAAAAAAGGGTACACAATTTCTCAATGATTAAGTTTACCCTTAAGGAGACTCACTTATAATCCTTAAATATAAAAATGAACAACTAGTTGCCCTCCTCATGAATTAATTAAAATATTGAAGTTCATTGAGTACAAATTAAAATATCATAATTAAATCTTAATTTAATCAGGGTTGATTGATTACAAATTAAAATATCATAATTAAATCTTAATTTAACCAGGGTTGATTGATTCAATGATGTAATAAGTTCAAAATGAACTGGGAATGATCGAAAAGATTCTAAAGACAATTAGGTTTTTGCCCAGAACATCTTTTGCAAGATTTTGATTGCTTAAGATGTAATTAATTATTAGGGTCTATGCCTATAAGAGAATTAGTAACCCATATAATCTAAATCCTATCTAATCTTTATATTAGATGGGAGAATGATTCGTTAAAAATTTTGCAGACCAAATAAATACCATAAATATCTTAGTTTGGATAATTGAGTCTGTTATCAAGTAATATTTTTATCTTTCGAAAATCGACGGAACAACACATTCTCCGAGCTTTAGAAGAAGGCGTGGGAAGATAGGAGAAAGGGGGATCGCATGGTCGTTGAGCCCTCATTGCAAGCACCTGATCCTCATCCATCTCTTATTCCTCCTAAAGCGAGGAAGAAATCTAAGACATTGGGGAAATGGGCGCCCGCTGGTTGAAGGTTTTTGGATCCTACCGACAGCAGCGACCAAACATATGTATTACATATCTTAGGAACGTGCTTAGCATCTCCTTGCTTGGGAACCATTGAGCCCTTTAGCGAATAGGATTCCCAACAGAGTGTCCATGCCAGCCAAAATTGCGTTTGACACCCGACTTGGAGAAAGCCACCTCCTTTGACACACGACTCGAAGAAAAGAGAAATGAATGCATGACCCATGTGAGGTCCTTCGCTTCGGCTAAAAGAAGATCTTATTGTCACTGGCCTCGGGCTGAGCCATTCGGGCCCTTATCATGCTTCATAAACAACTCTTCTGTGAGTATCAACACAAACGAGGGTTGCCTACATCTCTCTTTTTTATAGGGAAGAAAGTCAACGATCCCAACAGTAGTCACCCGACAAAAGCCTATAAGTTGGCCCAACTTGACAATATTATTGAGCATGTGTCGACCTGACACTAATATGAAGGCTTGGAGACCAGGTTCCCAAAAAGGAAAGAGAAAAGGAATGCTTGCCACCATAATAATAGCTTTTATCTTGACATGCGTGAAGGGGGCACGTGGTCCCCTCGACAATAAGGGAACTTGGTCGGACCAACTATGTAGCCAAGGTTGCTTTCAAAATTCTTCGAGCTAATAATGGAAGGCAACTGTTTTTATTGGTCGAATAATCAACTAACCAGAACAACAAATCAATCAAAATGCAAAAGATCAACCTCTCAACGGCAAAACAGATACAACAAAGCAAAGTGGTAACTTTTATATATTCCAATCAAAAGAAACCTGAGATCCATGTAACCTTGAAAAGTATATATGTTACACACTTTAGATGAGGAACGTGCCCTCAAAGGAATTGGTGCTTTGGCGCACACTCATCGAGAGCATCAATTATTCTCACTTTCAATACTTTTCAAAAAGAGCTAAAATAGTGGAAGTGGAGGGAGAAAGGAGTGCTGCTGCATGCTGACCCTTCTTATTTTGGTCAGCGGGTAACACCATTCGAGTGGACGAGGTACCTCTTGAAGTGGTAGACGATACACTACCACTGGGCATCATAATTAGTTCGAAGAGAGGAATTCCAACCAGTGCACTATCGAATCACCCCCAATATTCTCCATGTCTCTCGTCAAAACATATGGAGGCGAGGATTAAAGGAGGCATGGGGTGTACTGAACAAGAGGCTTATGAACCAACCCCTACACTGTGAAAGGGAAGAGGTTGAGGTCCCCTTAACAGCATCAACCGAACGATTTTTTGCATTACTTAGGGATGTGAAATTCGCACGACACTTCCCCAGAAAGGCACTGCGCCCCGTTGTGTTGGGTGCAACTTCAGTGACACCCAATCAGTGTCACCTTCGACACCTGACTCGGAGGAACCCCCCTTCACTGACACTCAACATGAAGAAAAAGAAATTTCAATATATGATCTATACAGAGTCTTTTGTTCCAGATGGAAGAGGTCACCCTTATTTCTCATTCCAGATGGAAGAGGTCACCCTTATTTCTCATTCCATAATGAGGCATCTTACCTCCCATTATATTTCACTCAAAAGTTTTAAACAGGGACCCACCTTGGGGCGTCGTGCATCAGTGACAAGACAGATCGATAGTGGCGTTCCAAAAAGGGAATGATGGGAGAACTTACATCACCATTAGTGCAACTTCTTGCAGTGGCCCACTAGAATTACGTGATAGGACAACAATGCCAAACCCATTGAGATGGTCTGCTTTCGGTGAACTCCACTCGATCGAAGACATTGTGGAAGACATTGTGGAAGACATTTGATTCTAGAATTCAAATGACAATAGTAGGCCAAGCAATAACATTAAAATTAAAATTAAAAATGAAAAAAAAACTATATATATATATAAACAGCAATATGCATGATTCTAAAAAACCAATTACAATGGACTGAGTGATCGCTTGATCTACCTTCGCACCACAAACCCAAGCCTCGAGATCGAAAGAAATTAGATCTACGAAGATGGTTGTTTGCTCGCCAGTGACAAGATTGGCCAACAATTGTAGAGCAAATCATTCTGGAGACGAGCCCTCAAGGGTAATTGTAGCGAGCGACGACAAGATTTGCACCTAGTAAAAGGAACAAACTCTGTTGAGGCAAAGGCTCTACTGACCAAGCGAGGCGGCGGAATGCGGCGACTTATGTCTGAAGCAAATCAATCCACCAGTGCGTCTTAACTAGTCACTACAGGAAGCAGTTGGGAATGGGATTCGATTCTCAATTGATAACTAAAATTAAACGAATCCTTGGAAGCTTAAAGGGCAACCGACGAGAGCATGACATCCAAAATTCGGGGGTCTAGCTCTGAAGGTGACAGAGCCGAAACAAGTCCAAATGATCACCTCAGATGAGTCTCTAAAAGCGACGACCCAACCAGATAAAAATAACAAGACATCTCAGCCGGTCGGCCTGTGCAGCAGAGCAACTCACAAAATGAGAAAATATTTGCGTACATAAGACGTACGCAGCGCTGCGTACGTCCAGGGGTTATTCAGGGGGCACAGGGGGTTATATCAAGGTTATACCCCTCTGTAACTTCCCTGTAACCTACAAATGTATTCCGCGCTTCTGTATTTTTATGAGAATAAATAAGTTACACGGAGGTTACATGAGAGTTACACAGAGGTTACAGGGGTATTACCCGGATATAACCCCCATGTACCTCTGAATAACCTCTGATGTACGCAGCGCTGCGTGGTCTTATGTACGCAAATATTTTCCCACAAAATGAGGGCACAATCAATCAAAAACACAACTAATCCAAGAAATAAAAGAAAGCCCCGAATGATGCCACCATTAATATATTCTAAAATAGCCGCAACAATAACTTTGGGCCTTCCTCCATAATCCACATAATTAATTCTTTAGCTTAAGAAATATTATAGGAAGATTTTAAAAATATTATCAATAGTTACAAAGACGATTTACAATCGCACCAAAACCAGTCCGTTGAATGTCTTCTCACGGCAACCATGGTTAGGGTGTTACATTACAGAACCAAATCGCTCCGTCCGTTACGCATCGGATGGCTACAAATCCACTCTTATCTCCCCCCTCTTCCCCAATCAGCTCTCACCGCTCCCACAGATTAACAGAGGAGAAGGCCGGCAATTAGCACGCAATCGGACTCGGCCCGCTTCACCGTACCAGCGAGAAATAGATAGATGGAGTAGTGAGAGATTACAGGGCGGTGAGGAATACTGAAGAATCAAAGAAATCCGACAGTAAAGGAGAACTTCTTACGGCGACGATGCGGCCGAGAATAGGGCATCACAGTTTCAAATCCATCCAACTGCTTACTCATCGCATGGCTGTGAAATCAGTCCCAATGTAGCGGCCCCTTTCTACCAGCACTGGTCGGTCTCCCAGGTACGGCGAGGGACATGGCCAGAGAAACGGCAGATCCGAACCGGAGATCGGCGGAGAGCGATGAGCTCGCGATCGTACTCGGCTCGCTTGGACGGATCGGAAAGCGTCGAGTAAGCCGCGTGGACACTCAAGAACTTATCGGCCGATGCGCCCGAGTGCACATCCGGGTGGCACGTGCGAGCCAGGCTCCGGTACGCGGCTTTGATCTCTCGGGTAGAGGCTTTCTCTTCTAGGCCGAGAACGTTGTATAGTGAAATCGGCGTGGGAGGTGTGGTGAAAGCACTTTCCGCAGGGGTGGCGGCGGCGATCGTCGGAGATCGGAGCGGGAGAGATAGAGGTTGGAGAAAGGGGCGAGGAGCAGTGTTCCGGCGGCGGAGGAAATGGGGGCGGCGAGGGAGGGAGAGATTGGGAGAGGCGATCATATGGAATTCCTTGGATGAGTTGGTGATGCTTGGTAGTGGGCTTTTGAGCCGGACATGTTTTTATAGTAGGTGAAGTGGGCTGGGAAATTTTCTTTTTTGCACCTAGAAAATTAGCATATTCGAGAAAGGGCCGACTGGCAAAGTCGCGGAAAGAGGTCTGTAAATATTAATTTGCAAAAGGATGGTCCGCGAAAAGATAAACAAATTTATCTATTTTATATATATATATATATATATATAATATTAAAATATTACTATTTGCATGATCTAACAATTTGTGATTTTCTTTTATCATATCTCACTCAACCAAAAAGGACAACTAAGGTTGGATGATTGTCTGATACTCATTGAATCAAATAGGTCTACTAGGATCTGGGAAGAAACCCACTAGAATAAAAAAGAGGCTACTTAGAATCATGAAGGGATCAATCAAGATTAGGTTGAAGTTGATGAGGATGATGAAAATGTTGACTAGGATCAGAAAGAGTCCCGTAAGAATTATAAAGAGGTCAACTAGGATAAAGGGCTTATCAGACTTGGCGAAAGAGATCGAGTTGAATGGCAATTGGAATAAATGGCATAATGGTTGATCTTTAGGTGTTTTATATATAAGAAGTAAAGTGTCAGCGTGAATTATATAAATCTTGATGTTTTAAGTTTGATGTATGTAATTATCTCTTTATTTGTGCTTTATAATTACATGAATATGAATCAAAATATTAGGATTTACACATTTACCATCAAAATTTTGTTATTTACACTATTTAGCACTCTATTAACTTTGTAAACAAATCTCATTTGATGTATAACAAAAGAAGCTCAACGGGGATCAAACATTCTTCAAACTCTCATTTAGAAAAAAAAAAAAAACAAATAGGATAATAAAGATGTATGCTAGGATCAGAGAAAAATCAACTAAAATCATAACGAGGTTGATCAGATCATGAAGAGGGCCATCCCAATTAAAAAGTGGTGCATTTAGGATTAAGAAGAGACATAATATGATCATGTACTTGCTGTAAATTTGTCAGAAAATGTGAATATGTAAATCCCCCTACAATTTAGAGGGGGGAAAATAGAGTTCCATTATTGGTTCGAATGATATGCAAGTAAATATTTTCCCCGAGAAATTCATGCATTTTAAAGAAATAATGTAAAATGTTGGTAAGATCTTATGCTCTTTAATGTAGGTGCTAGATTAAAAAAAATTTTATTAGAAAACAAGAAAAAAATCATAGAAAAGAGATTAAAAGAATACAAGCTATTGTAGAAGAAGAGAGTGGCATGCTTCTCAAGGAAGTCAACATGAGTGACTTGTTACTGAGATATCCTTAAAACTAACAGAAATGATTAGGTGAGATTAATTTTTCTTTAGAGCAAATTTTAGGTGCATATTTCCACTAGTCACTATATTATATAAGAATGAAATTTCTTCCTTATCAAAAAATTTTAAGTATTTAATGATCATAATTCATTCTTCGAGATATTTTATTAGTACCAATTTAACATTTGTCAAGTTAGATAGAGTTATCATCCTTGGTCAACTTGGTTTGATCAAAACATATGTTAATATTGAGAAAGGTTGGTTGCCTATTTTAGAAAATAAAATTATGGTCTACCTGGACCAATGAGTTCCGAAGTTAGAAAGGAGTTTTCTCTACTTATTAAATAATAGATGTGTCTGGATTCGGGCAAGTCATTATTGGAGATACGTTTGTTCCTTAATTTTCGCTTTAGCATGGATGCACTCCTTACTTAATTATGCCTTTTACTTTTTATTTTGTGCTTCTTCAATTAAGGAAGATTTTAGAGAGGGTTTGGCTTCAACGGGTTAAAGGACATGAACTTTATTACTTGACCTCTAAAGGCAGGTAAGTACTAGATATATTTCATGATGATGCATTATACTTCTACCAAGGACAACTCAAACTCATCTTTAAATTTCATTCTATGAATAAATTATTAAATTTAAAAATTCTATGGAGTCATTGTTGCTCAAGTAATGTTGAGTTCCTTCAAAAGTATCATTTTCTTTTAGATTAGCATGTGTTAGAAAAAGGTGCTTTAGAGCTCAAACTTTTTCAAAATTTTTATGAAATTTGTTCAAATACTAGTTTGTTCTTTAGTCCCTAAATCATGTGAGGATGGTCAATCTATAAAAATAAAGAAAGTATTGAAAGTATTTTTTTTTTCATGAAGTTAATCAAGGGATGGTGAATAAAGATAGACCAACCCACATCATTACAGATTAGCTTGAGGTTCCCTCTTTTATAATTGTCAAATATGAAGCATTATTAAAGATGAAGGACTAATGCTTGAAGGTTAAGTATTACATCTTTCTAAGACTAAGGCTTGAAGGTTAAATATTACATCTTTCTAGACATTGTTAGCAATGTTTTCCAAACTAAGTCATTGAATATTATTCTCTCCAAGATTTTTAAATATTTAACTACTCATAACAAACTATGTTTCATTAAAGAAACTTATTTTGGTATTCTTGATGATCAATAGAAAATAAATTTTTGAATGATGGTGAGGTCCTTATCATAGTGATTATATTAAAGAAATCTACAATAATTTTTGAAGAACATTAGTTCAAAGGTTGAAGTAATTCCTTCAATCACTTGAAGTACTACTACTTTTATTGTATCTTTTATTTTATTCTTGGGACTTCTACTTCACCACCAGCTTCTTCTCTTGATACTTATATGACATATTTTATTTTTATTTCTAAAACTTCTTTGATTATTTTATCATCTACCTTTAAAGTGGTCCCTCCATTTCATATAAATTGCTTTTGACATAACTACTCAAAAGTTGACTTCTATAAATATGCATAGCGAAATTGACTTATGTTTTCCTAAGAGAGTTATCATCAATTTGGAGACCTCTATTGATAAAAAGAAAAGAGTTAAATTCCATATTAATAGGAAAACAAAATATGGTAAAGTAGGTTGTGGAACATCTCTTATGGGAGTTTAGGGCTTCTATATATGAGTAGAAGATGTGTTTCCTCAAGTGTAAAAAAGATTACACTATTATTAAAAGTGATGATCCCCTTGATTAAGTTGATTCAACAATTCAATAAACTTGTATTACTTATAGTTTCAATAATATAATTTTCATAAGGATAACTCACGAAGATCTTAGTGTGCTTTTATTAGCCTCATGCATATGACATGGTTTTTAATGACAAAAAATTACACTAAGAAAACACTTTTGATTTATTGAGCCAACTGATTTAAGTATTAAAATAATGCTATGATATTTTCTATTTTTAATCTATTATTTGTATCATTTTACTTATTTAGGGTATGGTTACTTTTTTATGTCGCATGTTAGTAAGAAAGTAATATGAGGAAGCACTTGGAGAAAAATACACACCAAGTTCCTCCAAAGAATCTCTTTGCCCATCTTGGAACCTAGGATTCTAAAAAAACTTCAAAATTCACCCAAACTACAAGATGAATTGAATGTAGGCATGTTGACCTCACTTTTGGTTGAGGAATAGTCTTTCTTCCTTAGAAGCCTAGGATCTAGTCATAGAACTTTTATGTTGACTATTCCTAGAGGACTAGTGATGCAACCCTCACCAATAGAAATTCTAAAACTCTTCTTTGCTCATCTTGAAGTTTCATATGTTGGTTCTGAACTCTAGCACTTAGTAGGTGGGACTAATATGGGGGAGCTCAAGAGGAGTCTCCTTGGGACAATTTGGCCAAAATGGGAGTTCCCTTGGACTTATGGCTCAAATAAGGTGATATCATGATTAACATCCTCAATTAATCCCAATTTTACCAAATTCCCAATTTTGACCCTTCTTGGTCCCAAACTTCACCAATTACCAAATTGCCACTAAACTCTAGATTTTTCAAAAATTCCCAAAATTAGCCAAAGTCTCAAAGTCTCTTAAAAAATCATTTTAAACCATTCCAGATCACTCAAATTGACCAAAATACCTCATAATTTTTAAAATTCTCAAAATACCCTCAAAATAGACTAATATGGGGGAGCTCAAGAGGAGTCTCCTTGGGACAATTTGGCCAAAATGGGAGTTCCCTTGGACTTATGGCTCAAATAAGGTGATATCATGATTAACATCCTCAATTAATCCCAATTTTACCAAATTCCCAATTTTGACCCTTCTTGGTCCCAAACTTCACCAATTACCAAATTGCCACTAAACTCTAGATTTTTCAAAAATTCCCAAAATTAGCCAAATTCTCAAAGTCTCTTAAAAAATCATTTTAAACCATTCCAGATCACTCAAATTGACCAAAATACCTCATAATTTTTAAAATTCTCAAAATACCCTCAAAATACCCAAAATTACCAAAATACCCTTCAAATTCCAAAAATTCCTTAAATTCTCAAAATCTCCAAAATAACTCCAAATGTCCCCAAAATCAATTTGAAACACTCTATTGAGCCGAATTTGACCAAATTGACTCATTTTAACCAAAATCCCCAAAGTGCCATTAAAGACCCAAATTCCCCCAATTCATCTCCAAATTCTACCAAACTGAATTCAATCACCCTCAATTTCAATTACAAACTCAAATTCATCATCCCCAATCCCACCTAAAACCAAATGCAAGCCCATTTGAACCCAATTTCAAGCCCAATTGCAAGCCCAATCCAAAATCCCCAATTTTAGTCATCCCAGATTGAACCTCACAACTCCAAAATTTCTACCCAATTGATATCCAAAACTTTTCATTACAAACCGTTGGACCAATTTGAATCAACAATTGAGCCTAACCTAAACCCTAGATCAATCCAAACCTAAGTCTAACCCAAATGCCCAAAATTGACCATATGGCCAAATTCCACCAAATTGACCTTGCAAATCGATTCCAATTGGTATCCAAAACATCTCATGACAATCATCCAAGCCAAATTGATCAATCATTTGACCAAGAACTTAGCCCAAACCCAACCTATACCAAATTTGACCCAAAACTCAAGATTTTGAACCCAAGCCATACACTTGACCAAATCAAACCAAATTGACCAACCCAAGGCCA